TCAGAGCCTTTAGGGTGCACTCCCTTCATTTTTTTTTAAGCTTTTTCTCAGCAACCTTTAGGAAACTTGTTTTTAAAAATGAAAGCCCAGATTCTCAAGCAATCTCTTGATTCCAGCACTGGGGGCTTTGAGAAAAACACCAAATATCACTTCATTTGGTAACTGTGGGCTTCAGTCACCCACCTCTGCATTCCCTGCAAATTACTTAATATATTTGGGCCACTTGAAACTGCCAGTTCACAGAGAGCTATGCTGCTTATCCAGCACTCCTTTCCCTACTGCAACTGGTTAACACAGATGTGGAAGCAAGGCAGCAGCTAATGCTGCTTTTAGATCCTCAGATGAAAGGCATTATGGAAGTTCACATTATTATGTTATTAGCATACCATATCACAGTCAATACTTTTTAAAATCCTCAAAAGATCAATGAGATTGTGATTACTGAGATTTGTTTTGTTTTTATCTCTTCTACCAAATAATATGTGCAGGGCTTACTTCTTAGTACAAATATTAATTAAAACAAAAAGTGTTAAATTGTTCCTGCTGTTTATTCCCATTTCCTAATTCTAATCCTTGATTAGTGACATAATGACCATTTCTATAACAACCACTTATGATGTCACAAAGAGAGGAATATCTTTTCTAAATTACTGTGAGGAGTGAAGGAAATAGTAGGAAGAGATAAATGAGTTTAGAAACAAAGGCTCTGTTTACATGGAAAAATCTTCAGCATAAAGAACAAGCAGAATGTTCTACAGAGGGGATGTTATTGTGTAGTTTTGTTGTAGTTATTGTGTAGTTATGTTTTGTATGAGGCATCAGCAATCTCTTAACTTTGTTTTCAGACACACTGGGGTCAGCCTGCTGCAGGTGTTAAAAAGGTAGGATCCCGTCAGCAAGAGATGAGGAAGAAGGGAGCAAATGTGAGCAATGTGTTTTAAAAAAAATCCCACCGTCTGTGCTGTGCAGAAACCAGATGTTTGTTCTAGTTATTATTATTATGATAATTCATTTAAGTAGAAATAAAATAGGGCATGATTGTTTACTGCAGCCTGTTTTCCCCAGACACTCTGGGAAATGAGAAGAAAAATCTCATAGGTTTTACCGTTGTTTAAATGAATTTTTTTTTCATTTAACCAGTAGTAAACATGACAACAAAAATAGTTTTCATACACATTGCACATTAGCTGCAAATGTACATCTTGTATTTTCTTTCTCTAGAAGTCACCAGAGGCCACTGAGGCATTTTAGGGAAGGCCACCTTGAATTTCATTAAAAAGAAAAGGAGGACTTGTGGCACCTTAGAGACTAACCAATTTATTTGAGCATGAGCTTTCGTGAGCTACAGCTCACTTCATCGGTATGCATCTGATGAAGTGAGCTGTAGCTCACGAAAGCTCATGCTCAAATAAATTGGTTAGTCTCTAAGGTGCCACAAGTCCTCCTTTTCTTTTTGCGAATACAGACTAACACGGCTGTTACTCTGAAACTTGAATTTCATTGTTGTCTGAAAAGAAACCTTCTTTGGTAACCAACATTTGCTACATCCTAACGTAGTCTGAGACCTCCACATGCTAATATCACCCTCCTTCTGGAATGGGACCTGAACAGTTACCAAACCTGAGAGTCCAGAGATTGATTGATTAAGAGGAATGAACCATCCTCTTAACCTTAGAGGTGGTCTGTCCAGATCAGAATTGATATAGCTTGGTGGGGCAGTGGGGCAAAGCTTGCACTGAGCCAATATATACCAGTTCTGTAGATTAATACATGGCATTTGTCTTTATGGCTGTCAATCCAGCATCTTTCATGAGCTCTAATTTCAAACAGGTACAGAAACATATGTAATAATGAGCATTACAAAAAAGTCCTCCTGACTGGGAACTCTTTTGCCTTCTGGGGTCTGAGTATTCCCCTTCAGGATCTGAGTAACTCCTGTTGACTTCAGAGGGAGGAGCTACTCATATTGGGTAGAGAATAGGGCGTCTATCTGGACCTGAGCTTGATAAACTTAGTCCAAAAAGAAAATCTCTAGTTTTCAAGTTGTGCACCATTCAGTTGCAAAACCCATGCTAGCAAGGAGTCGTTGAAGTGCTAGCCAGGCCTAGAGAGAGTTAAATAAGCCCTGTAGCAAAATTTAAATCCTACATCGGAAGTAGAGGAGGTTAATTGAACATGCACATTATCAGGAGTGTCTCTGATGGTTAGGGTTAATTTATCACACTGAATCCAATCACTTTATAAAAAGCCAGTGTGGGTTTCATTTACTTTGATGAGGTTTATTGCAAGATTCCAGAAAATCAATTTTGCTGTGAGCTATATTAAACCCAAGGGAATATAAACACTGTATGTACTACACATATTGATATTACTCACTGGATCACTGGGGAAATTATATGTTTACCATGAAGAAGGGTTATGGTTACGTTCATTGTCTTGGGCAACTCCCAGCCTGCCAATCGCAATGAAATAAAACAAAATGGTAGTGTTCAGAATCATGTAGCCTGAGGTACAGAAACACACAGCAATAGTGACTTGATTTTCAAAAGGACTTTAAGTAGCTGCTACATCATGTATTAGCCCTACATGTTCTTTTCAAATAAATAATGAACACCCGTGATACATATGCTACTGTTAGTTGTCCAGAGTCCGGTACTTCCTGCTCCCAGAGCTTCTTGAGATTCTTCAAAGGTAGCAGCGATAGGCTATGATTTAAATGGTTTAGGTTGATTGGCTGGCTTAGTGATTCTGAGGATAATTTGCAGCTTTCCAAGTAAGAGTCATTTCCATTATACCCTAGACATGTGCACACTCACTTTGTGAATTTTACATTAATTAGAAAATAATAAGAATATAGTTTATGTGTGCTCTGACAAGGGATCAGAAATGAATTTGGGGCTGTGCAGAGCAGTAGGCTTCTTACTTTGTAGTGTCTTAGAAATCAAACTTGTGTATAATCAGGGTCATAAAATCTTTTAATAGTTGTCAATTTTCCTTCCCATCAGGCTTTTTTGTAATAACAAGGGGTACTGTTAGGTGATCTAGCAAAGGGAGAGGTGGTCTAGTGGATTATTACATAGTTAGTTTTCCCAGAAATCTGGGGTTTAAAGTCAATAAACATTAAGAACTGGTTTCTGTAAGACTATTTGTGAAATTTCAGGAATGTCTTTTTAAAAAAATCAGTTCTGTGTACGCTGGTTTCTCATGACAACGATCATCACATTTTTTCCAAGCAAGGAGCCCTATTCTGCAACCAGATAATGAGTAATTCTCATTGGCTTCAGTACTTAACTTGCTTTGAGAGAGTTGGGCCCCAGTTGTAAATCAATGTGAGCTTTCTTTGTACTGTATGGACTAAGGGTGAAATTTTCAGAGGTGCCAAAGATAGTTAGGTGCCCGCCTTACATCGACTTTCAGTGGGAGTTTGGCACCTAACTCCCCAGTAGCTTTTGAGAATACCTCCCTATATCTTGTAATCATTGCTCATGTTTACATAGATGTAATATTTCATAATGTTTTAATCCTGAAGTACTCACTTAGGTAAAACTCCCAATGGAACTTGCATTGAAAAAAGCCTACAGGATTTAGCTAATATGCTAATATTATATATAAACCTGACTTTGATTTACAGCTGTTTTGTAAAAACGAGCTGAAGATTGTTCTGGATTACAAACATACACACATGATCTTTTAAAACACTTACTTGAAATTTTGTCTTGCTGCCAATTTTATGGGAAATACCTTTTCTTCTGTACATGTGCTTCAAGGGGACTACTCGTAAGTAAGAGGAGCAGAGCATTCTTTTGTTTTATTAAAAGAATGTATGTTTATATCATAAATGCTCTTCCTTAAAATATACTTTCAATATATTGTAAAGTATATAAACAGTGAAGTGTTAAATAATCAGCTGACTGAAAATCATAAACACAACACACAAATTCAAACAAACAGATCATAGCAATAACAATACATGTTTTCAGCTTCACTGTTCTGATGTGTATTGCATCTCATTTCCCCATCCTTTGTATGTTGTCTTTTTAGATTGTGAGCTCTTAAAGCCAGGGACCTTGCCTTCATAGCTTTTTTTTATATGCTGTTGTAATTAAGTGGACAAATAATGATAAAAACATGGAAACAATTACGGCTGTTTATAAATGCAAGTGAATACTTTTTTCTTAATTAGCATTGTTCCTTTTGATCCAAGTCACCAACATTTCATGGAGAGTGAGTTTCAAATAACAGATCTAGGATTTGTTCAGTCTCTATAATGGACAATCCAAGGTGATTTTGGGTTTGAATAAACCCAATGGTCAGATTTTGTTTTTGCAGGATGGTGTGTTTAGATCTGTGTTTCATTTCATCTGAACCACCAGATTTCAAGGTGGTGGTTTTCAGATGAAAAGTTACTGGTAGCATTGACTTCAGTCAGATCCGAGTTAGGCAAAAACTAACTGACCGGTGAAAATCTCACTGTACAATTTTGACTCCTATTTAATTAAAATTGTGTGTTTTTGTCATACACTTAACATTTTAGCAAGTACATGATAGCCTTCAAATGTAGGCAAATGCTGTAGAAGATGCTTTTGGGAGTCTGTGGCCTGACTTCCCAGAACTCCAGTGTATTTTTGAGATCACATCACGTTGCTGGGGAAAATCAATATCATTAGTGAACGAACAAGAATATAAGAAGCCAAGTATCATCAAACACAATAGGTGGTGAAGTAAAGATGCTATTAGGAAAGCAGTGAGCATGATATTGGTACCGTATACATGTGCACATACATACATATATATAGTGTGCACATGCCTCGAGTCTTACATGTGTTTATGTGCAGACACAAACTGCACTTACGGTTTACCAATATAAGAATTAGTTTGAGAAAATACTTTGTTCTTTTCTTCAGTCTTTTCTAAGAATTTATGCACCAAATAATTAAATTATGCCTCAGCAGCTAAACAAATTATGCAAACTTATACACCATGAATATTTTATATTTCAGAACCCCAAAGCAAGGACTTTCGACAGTTTTATGTCTGCAGCAACCTGCATCATACCCAGATGAATTCAGCAACAGATAAGTTCCTCTTCTGTCTGAAACTTTACTCAGGTTTTTATTTTTTAGCTTACATTTCTCTATGATATTAATAAGTGTGTCTCAAGGGCTGTATTGTACATAAGAAAATGGAAGTTACTGCAGTCGGTATTCTTTCTAGTCCTGCAGAAGACAGGGAAGTTATTCCCTGTTCAATTCTGAATTGATTTAACACTCACAGAATCATATAAAGGGAAGTGATGTGCTAGAAGCAGGAGTAAGTTTAAAAAAATATAAACCATTTACATAGATACCACAGTTGCTGCCAGGTTCACTATTTCTGATATGCCTCTCTTTATTTTAAGTCTATTTCTGTATGCCAAATTATCTCCTTAAAAACATGTTTCCCTTTTTTCCCTGTAAATAAGCAAATGTGTAGCCACACAGGGATAAAGTAGAGGAATATAGTTGTGATCCGTTGGCAGATGAGAATAGCTTACAGAGAATACTTGAGATTTTCCTCATTTAACTTGCTTTAATTAATGATCTCGTCGTTATTCCATCTTGTAAGAAAGAGCTGGCATACCGAGATTGCATGCATCTGCTCCTGAAGAGGTTGGCAAAACAGAAATTTTGTAATGACAAGTTAACAAGGATTCTTTGGCAACCCTTGCTGGTTCCCAGGATGCAGAATCATGTGAGTTAATGCCATAACTTTGACTTCAAATATCACTCACTCGAAGCGGTTATGTATATATTTTACTACACTCATTAATACCTAATGTGTTCCAATAACTGTGTATTATATGCCAGCAAATACAGTACTATGATGGTAATTTAAAGTAAAGTACACTGTTCATTATAGATTTAATATTAACAGCTTTCCAAGGACATGACCCACTGAAAATCCTCAACAACCCATCAGTGAATCACAACCTGTTTTTGAAAACAGTGTTGTATATACTGCTTCTTTATGTGCTATCCCTTAATCTCATCTACTCCATGGGTCTTTGACAGTGCCAGTAAACATGGTCTAATTGATTTTGTTGCAATAATAAACTATTAATTGCCAAAGGTATAGCAAGCAATTTCAAACTTGTACATGTGCTAGCTAGTCCACTACCTAATCTGTTTATCTATCTACCTGACTATTCTGTAGTGCCCATCACCATAATATTGAAGTACTAATCCATTCCCCCTCTTTCATATCTGACGATTAATTAAAACTAGAAGCACTGTTACACACCGTATGGTTCCTGATACAGGAGCCTGTTAAGCAAAACACTTGAGCATATGCTTAACTTTGGGTATGTGTTTAAGTGCTTTGATGAATTGGGGCCATAGTGAGCATGTTAGATAGAACTATGCAGTAGAACTAATAAAAGACTGGATGTGTGTTGTGCTCATAGCTTACATCTATCTATGCTGGTCTTCATTGTAACCGTACAGTCCTGATGGTGAATTAAGTTGAAATTTCCAATATTCTTAAAGATTTTGTCTCTGATCATACATTCCTTAATTAGGCATAGCTGCCTTTGAATGCAGTGGGAGTTTTTCTTGTTTGAGGAGTACAAGAGCAGTATCTTATTGTGGCAGGCATGAGCATCATCTCTGAAAAATTGTAATTTATTGGTTGTTATTAGATAAATATAATAAGTAATACTTTATATGAACAATTATGTCTGGTTATGCCTGACAGAAATCATAAACAGAATAATTTATAATCTGGTATGTTTATAGAAAGGAAGAGCAGCATATTTTGTTCTGATTTCGCAAAATTGATTCATAGATTCATAGATATTAAGGTCGGAAGGGACCATTATGATCATCTAGTCTGACCTCCTGCACAATGCAGGCCACCGAATCTCACCCACCCACTCCTGCAATAAACCTCTCACCTATGTCTGAGCTACTGAAGTCCTCAAATCATGGTTTAAAGACTTCAAGGTGCAGAGAATCCTCCAGCAAATGACCCGTGCCCCATGCTGCAGAGGAAGGCGAAAAACCCCCAGGGCCTCTTCCAAACTGCCCTGGAGGAAAATTCCTTCCCGACCCCAGATATGGCGATCGGCTGAACCCTGAGCATGTGGGCAAGATTCACCAGCCAGATACCCAGGAAAGAATTCTCTGTAGTAATTCAGATCCCACCCCATCTAACGTTCCATCACAGACCATTGGGCCTATTTACCATGAATAGTTAAAGATCAATTAATTGCCAAAATCATGTTATCCCATCATACCATCTCCTCCATAAACTTATCGAGTTTAATCCTGAAGCCAGATAGGTCTTTTGCCCCCACTGCTTCCCTTGGAAGGCTATTCCAGAACTTCACTCCTCTGTTGGTTAGAAGCCTTCATCTAATTTCAAGTCTAAACTTCCCAATGGCCAGTTTATATCCATTTGTTCTTGTGTCCACATTGGTACTGAGGTTAAATAATTCCTCTCCCTGTCTCTGGTATTTATTCCTCTGATATATTTATAGAGAGCAATCGTATCTCCCCCTCAGCCTTCTTTTGATCCATTTTAGTGAAAAACAACAACTGTAGTTAAGTAGTTTTTCCTAAAAAAAAAAAAATACTATGACTATGCATTCTTCTATGTGTCTTTAGCAATATGATGGGTTAGATTTTGCTTCTCTGTGTTTCTGGGGAATGCTTAATGTGGGATTTATATATGTTTTATTTATTACTTTTATAGTCCAGAGGAACATGTGTTGATAACATCCATTAAACATAGATGTTTAGGTAAAATTATGAATTATTATGAATATCAATGGATAGACCAGAGACTTTTTTTTAAAAAGGAAGCTGTTTTTTGTGCTTCACAGAAGATATTTTCTGATTTAAAAAACCAGTATACTAATACCTCAACTCGTGTTAAATTGACTAACTTTTTTCCTTTTTGTGATCTAGTTTACACTGAAATATGGAATGAAAGTTTGAGGTGATCGCATGTGATCCAATAGCCAAAATTAGAGAAACAGAACCTTTTAAAATAGGAAATCAGACATACATGCAGAAAGGGATTGCATAAGGAAAGGACTGAGAAACTTTATGCAAAATTAGGGCGTATAAAGTATTCTGGACCAGACTCCTTAAATTAAAAGAATCCCCTTACGAGAAAGTACTTTTGTTAGCAAATGCCAGGATAATATGTTTTTATTTTAAATAAATGTTGACTAATAAACATACATATGCCATTTTTCTAGAAGTAAACAGCAACTTTTTCTAGAAGTTTTCTAGAAAAAACTTTCTTCCTTTTTCTAGAAGTAAACAGCAACTTCCTGTGCCCCTTGTCATTATATAGTTATGCATACAATATGCATTAACACTTAATGAACGATTAATGAAATTTCACAGAAAAAAATACAGAACAATATTCAGCTTCATTCTGGGCTGTTTTGCAGCTCCATAAAATTCTCTAAGAAATGTTAGTGAAATGGTGTTTTAATAAATTTGCAACATACCACATTTTGAATTTGCATGTTTTGATGAGGGAAAAAAAATATTGAATTTGAATATCAGGATTTCATAAACTGAAGTTTTCACTCACTTCCCTCAGAAATGGTACAACTTATTCTGAACAACAATAATTGGAAATGAAGGAAACTATGGGAACAGTCCTTCAATGATGGAAGTCAAGGGGTATTTTGCTTGAGTAAGGACTGTGTGATCAGCTCAATGGACATGTTACTAACCTTTGTCTAAAAGAAACACTGTGGGAAGTAGTGTTATACATTCTTCTATCCTCTAATCATGTGAACTTAAATCAGAAATGTTGCCGTTGTGGGCAAACAGAAGGGAAATCAAAATCAAGTCTTTGTATAAAAATGTAGGAGTAGGTAAGTTTAATTTTCGGTTTGATACATTATGGTGGGATTTTGAAAGAGCTTAAGAGAAGTAGGTGCCCAGGTGCCATTGAAGTTCAATGAGAGTCCCTTAGGCTCCTTTGAAAATCACAGCCCATATTATCATTTTCTGTATTTCTTACAATATTTAACATCATTATTGACTGTAACATAAAGGCTTTAGCTCAAATGAGACAGACTTTGGGTGTCTGAGAGAGGAGAATTTAATGGTCTGAATTAGTTTGTGGAAGATGTTCCAGCAGCAGGAGATACAGGTTAAAGCATTTAAAGCAAGAGTGAGTAGCCAGAGTAGGATAAACTACAATTTACAGTACTCAGGATTTGTGCGTTACAAAGGGATACTAATATGGAAGATGCCTCAAAATCCAAAGATAAGTAGATATGAAACACAGACTTGTGGATCTTCTTATTACTTTATATATGCTTTTCAAATAGCTTTTCCATGCCAAGCTGTTTGTGAATTAAGATAGATGGATGAACTATTTTTGTAGCTACATTTTTTCATTTTATAGATTTTTTTAAGAGATTATCGACAGAAAATATGACCCAGTCATTAGGGTGCTAGCCTAGGACTTGAGAAACCCAGATTCGATTCCTTGCTCTGCCACAGGCTTTCTTTGTGATCGTGGGCAAGTCACTTAGACTCTCTCTGCCTCAGTTGCCCATCTGTAAAATGGAGATAATAGTACTTCCTTCTCTACCTTACAGGGATGTTGTGAGGAAAAATACATTAAAGATTATGAGACAAGATGAGTGAGGTAATATCTTTTATTGCATCTTCTGTTGTTGAGAGAGACAAGCTTTTGAGCTTACACAGAGATTGTGTAGAAATTGCGTGCACTCAGATACTATGGTGATCAAAGCCTTATAAAGTGATAGATAGATAGATAGACGGTTGACAAATATAGTTGTAGTAAAAAATAACCCTAACAAATAGGCTGATAGGTTACATTTTAAATATGCTATTGGATCTGATATTTAAAACTGCCCTCCCCTTTTGAATAGGTAATTTTGAGCTTGCAAATAATAATGGTTCCCATTTTACAGGAGCAATTACTTGAGGACTCAAATGATGGCATGTAGATATCCAATTATTAGACTGGATTGGCATGCATAAGAAAGGGCTAAGTTGAGGCCCTTTAAAAATTAAACCCATTATGTTTTTGTGTAGAGGGAAGAATCCTTAATGTTAGTGCTATGGCTGTG